GTTGTTCCTGGTTTTTTCAGAAAAGCCTTTTCATGATGAAAGTTCTTGTGGCTCTCGAAGTAATAAAATAAATAGGCGCATGTGGAGAGTGGGAACATGCACTCCTTCATGATGAGAGTCTTTATCTTTTTTAGAATATTGATGGGCATCTTTTGACGAAATGCTTTGACGACAGGTGGAAAAGTTCCCTTTCCCTTCAGATCTGAAAGCGTCGAAAACGATGATTACAAGTCGCCCAACAGTAGGCTTGCTCCAGCAACGCTGCTGATTCGGCTCAACGGTGTCATTTCGGTTTTGGGTTCCTGAATGGAGTATGAGCAAGGCGATTGGGAAGCGTCGGAGCAATTGCTGTAAAAGGGGAACTCCGTCCGGGTGAGAAGAAAGCCTCTGGTGCATAAGAGAATGGCGACGACGTGAAGCACCATGATCGCCCAGTGAATCCATATTCCTTTACCCATCTTGCAAGTAATTGCAGGAAGAAGAAAAGGTTGCTGGTTTCTTTTTGCATTGGTGCATCGAGGAAGGTGGTGGAGTCGCTGACAGATCTCCGGTGGGATCCCCGTCTTACCGACGAGAAGTCGAGGAATTCATCGACATCTAGATTTGAGAACTTTGTGTCCTCCGTCTTATTTTTGAACATCATATCTGAGTTCTGCGGTCCTTTCTTTCACGCCTAACCACCGTTGTCTTCGATCTCGAGGCTTCTGTGAGTGTGTCGGCACCAAGATCAGGAGGTTTTGCATTTGATTTGCACGACTGAGCTTGATTTATGAAGAGCAACGAATATGTAGTGGCGGATCTGACCATGGCGATGGAGATTCAGTGCATGCTTCTGAAATATTTTTAGAGAGAGAAAGAAAGAAAGAAAGAAAGAAAGAAAGAAAGAGAGCTGGGGGAGGTTGGTTCAGTTTTGGGTTTTGCAGTGATTGTGCAAGTGTTTGGTTCTTGGGTTTCTGCAAATTCACGGTAGAGGTGAAAAAATAAAAGAGAACTGACATAGCTTTTCGTGTCGATTCCCACAGACGGCGCCAAATGTTGATGCACAAAACCGGAGGGTCTTGGAACAACGTAAATCCGACTGTTAATCTGCAAAAAAGTAAAGAACACAAAATGTATCGTGGTTCACCCCAATATTTGGGCTATATCTACACTGATGTTGATATTGTTTCACTCTGAATGGTGAATATACAAGAAGGCTAGAGGCAGTGTGCTCTCTAGCCTATTTTTTGTGTTTGCCCTCTCTGAGATGTTTTCTCTCTTCCCATGGCCTAAACCTTGACCTCTCCTAATGAGGAGAGTGATGAGTCCTTTTATAGAATAAGGGCTCCTCACTTATTACATATTTGTCCATTCATTTATTACATAATTACATTTGAGTCCCCCGAGTATTTATACGAGGTCTAAATACGGAGGCCCTAAATATGGTACAAACATATTGTATTTTCTTCTAAATACCCACTTACAACCTATTGCTTTTGATCCTTGGGGCAAGTCTACTAAAACTCATGTCTGATTGGATATTAATTATTCAAATTCATTATCTATAGCCTCTTTCTAAAAAGCTGCATCTCTTGAAATCATTGTTTCACTTAGACTTTTAGGATCATCCACAACATTCAATAATATGAGTATTTTTTTAAGAACATTTTTTCTATTTCCTTCGACTAAAAATACAATAGATTGAGACGAAATAAAATCATAGCCTAGAGTCTTTTCTTTTCTTACTCTTTGGCTTTTCCTTTGTTTATTAACAGTTTCAAACTATTTTCTTTTCTCACCTTGAGAATGACTAGTAGCCGGATTAGAGAAAGATGTTTGATCATTCTCTTTTCTAGACATTGAGTAGTCGTTATAAAATTTATTTTCTATAAAAATTCAACATCTCTAGACGTAACTATTGTATTTGAGTCTAAATTAAGCAACCTATATGTCTTTGAATTTTCTGCATATCCTACAAATATGCTTTTAATTCCTCTTGGATCCAACTTGGATCTCTTAGGGTCCAGCGCCTTGTAAAATGCTACACAACCCCACAATCTCAAATATGACAAATTTGATTGTCTTCTTTTCCAAATTTTATAAGGTGACACATGTGTCTTTGTAGATGTAAATCTATTGTGTATATGACATGCTGTAAACAATGCTTATCCCCATAAATATTTAGGAGTATTAGCATTGATCATCATAGAATTAATCATTTCAGTGAGTGTCCTATTTTTTCTTACTGCCAAACCATTTTGTTGTCGTGTATAGGTTGTTGTTCTTTGATGTATAACACCATGCTCTTCACAAAAAATATCAAATTCATGTGAAAAATATTCACCACCTCTATCACTACGAAGACATTTAATTTTCTTTTCTTTTTGGTTTTCAACTTCAGCCTTATAGTGCTTAAAACACTCAAAAGCTTTATCTTTATTAGACAATAAATAAACATAGGTGAACTTAGAACAATCATCTATAAATATGATAAAATATCTTTTTCCCCATCTTGTTAAAACACCATTAAATTCACATATGTCAGAATATATTAAGTCTAATAAATTTGTATTTCTTTCGCCAGTTGGAAAAAGTTTCTTAGTCATTTTCATTTGAATACATGTTTCACATTTATCATTGTAATCATTATTGCAAGCAATTAAATCAAGTGTGCGCATGTATTTTAAAAATCTAAAATTTACATGAGCTAAACGTAAATGCTATAAATGAGAGGAATATTCAACAATATAAGCAAAAGAATTCACTTTATTATTAATACTTAGTTTGAACATCCCATCACAAGAATACCCCTTCCCAATAACCATCCCATTTTTCGACAATATTAACTTATCGGACTCTAGAACAGTCTTTATACTGTTCTTACATAATAAATTTGCAAACACAAGATTTTTTCTAATTTCTGGAACATGTAGGACATTAAGCAACGTCAGTTTTTTCCCAGAAGTAAACTGAAGTTCAAAGATTCATTTTCCTAGAACTTTGGCAGAATTATGATTTCCCATTAAAACCTCTTGATTGTCCGTTGATGCTTCATATGTCTTGAATTGTGCCTTATTATTGCATACATGTATAGTAGCCCCTAAGTCGAGCCACCAATCGGATAATTTTATTGCCGATGCCATATTTAGTTCGATAATCATGCCAATATGTATCATTGATACCATTGCAACAATGTTATCAGTTCCAGAATTTTTCACCATATTTGCGCTATTGGTCTCATTGACATATTCCTCACTTGCTTTTCTATGTCTATAATCACGAATGTAATGACCTTTCTTTTCACAATGATAGCAGACACCATTTGCATTCTTTTGATTGTTGTTGGAATTGGTCTTCTTAAACTTCCCCTTGTCAAATTTGACTTTGAAGTTCTTTTTGTATTTGTTTCATTCGACAATGTGAACTCTGGAGGAATCTGATTTGCATAATTCTTATCACAATTTCGAGTTTCCTCTTCAATTTGAATACCCTTTTGCAAATCCTCCAAACTAATATCTTCCATCATGTGTAGAAGTTTCTTTCTATAGTTATTCCATGTTTGGGGTAATTTTGTCATAATAGCCCCAACTATCATAGGATCCGGAATAACTATTTTAAATTCACGAAGCTTTGAGACCATGACCAATAATTCATGAACTTGGTCTATGATGGGTTTGTTATCAAACATAGTGAACTCATAATATTTGAACATTAAAAATTTATTAGTACCTCTTTTCTCCGTTGTGCACTTGTGTTCAAGTGGTTCCCAAATTTCCTTTGGAGATTGAATGTGTGCATACATGTTATATAAGCGATCAGATAATATGCCCAAGATGTAATTAGTCACATGAATGATTAAATTAATCCACTTTTTAGTTATGTGTTTGGGGATAAATTAAGCAACCTACATGTTACTTCCACTAATTAAAAGGGACATCACTATCGTATAACCACCAACCCCTTCATCTATCTAACATTCATGCTGAAGCAAGTCATAGATGCCGACCATTTCCAATTTTTTTTAATTTTTTTTCGTTTTTGGTCAAGGGGTATTATTTATTACCAACAACAAACTTTACAAACACAATGGTCTAGATACAAAGTATACACAAAATGGACCATAAAACAAAAAAGGGCCCAAAGACAGTTTGCAGCCCAATACACAAAAACAATAAACAAGAAAATCCTAGAGAAACTAAAGTCCCTGTAGCAAAAGTCCAACACACAGTAACCAACAAACAACAAACTAGAACTCTATTGCAGCCGCTTCCGCACAAGCAAATCATGTACAACTCGATTCCACGCTCCCGACGAAGCATCCCCACTCCGATCGCCCCCACCAGCTGAAAACAGTTCATCAATCGCAACCACAAGCTGAAAAACCCAGCCATGAAGCATGTGGAAGTCCACATGCAACGCTGCCATAGGCAGAGGGAGAGAGAAGGTGGTGGTGTTGATAACACCCGAACCGGTGAGAACATCGGACTTCGATACACCAACTCGACAGATCGCAATGAATCGCGATGAAAGGTGGCTACATATTGAATTGGAGATGACCTAGAAAAAGGGTTGCCAAAAGATTGTGGAGAACTAACTAGAACAGGATTGAGGAGGAGGACACAACAGAAAAAACAGAACAAAAGAAGAAGAAAATGCCACCGACCCCAGCCACAGCTAGGGTTGGCAACAACGAAAATTGACAAAATTGCAGCTACTCATACAAAATGGCGAGAGTCTCTCAAGCACGCTTATTAGAGACTTTTAGCATAACTAATTACAATCAGACAATGTAGTGGACTCTTAAAGCGGAGTGAATCTTCGGTATAACTAATCTACTAGAGTAGCTCTCATGAAAGGGAAACAAACTTGGGGTCGAATAAGATCTAAATAAAAAATTCCATGTGTTTTATAAGAAACATTATACATATAACACGGTCGGAGCGTCCCACCTAAATTTTTTTCCTTAAAATGATGCTAAACGACTTAACAAAATCACATGCTTCATTAAATGATTCATAATATTAGTATTTCTAAGTGTTGGTATTCCATACATTAATCGTCTTCAAATGGTATTTACACATCTTATATATACACACGTGAATAACAAACCTTGGATTTAAATGGAGTTGCAATCGGGTCAAAGAACTGTGAAACATATCTCATTCTATGATCTGAACTCACATATTACAACTCGAACGCTCGCCAGTTAGTCACCAATAAATAATGGTTTACAAAAAAGCAGAAAAAAAAAGTTTGCATGGTAGTGTCCGTCCATTTGCATCCAAGTTTGAATCTCCACCTCATAGTTTAGCTTAGATTAGAATATGGAATGATAATTTGTTAGTACCTACCAAAAACATCGCAAAAAGTTGATGAGGAAATGGAACAGGTAATTTTCTCCATCGAGCAGTTCGTGTCGAACCAATCTTTGGAGGATGATGTTCTGCGGAAGCAACTCACTGTAATAGAGTAAAGTCGAAACTGAGGCAGCAGGATCTCCGATTAAGGATGTTAGCAGCCTCAGCAGTGTCCTAAACATCAACGGTGTAAGAGACTGCACCGCCAAAAATGCAACCGCAAAAAAATGTCACAAAAAGTAAATAAAGTGAACAATATTTTGCACATAAAAAAATAAATTTGATCGTACATACCATGGATTTCGGTGAGGGAGGAGGAAATTGGAGATGAAATTCTGAACTGGATTTGGAAGAGAATGTGGGGTTTTTTGATTTGGGGTGATTTATTTGTAGGATTATATGTCAATCTTTCAGCAAACATTCAAACCTACCCGTCTGGAAAAAAAAAATTGACGTGAAAAAAATTAGGTACGAAGTGCTCAAACCACCAGGAAGGATAGGTGGAGTCCGTTATTCAAGTAAAAGTTTTCACTATTGGCCGAAAAGGCAAAACCCAACTCATTCTGTGTCTCTTTAATATTGAGAGTTCAAACAAATATGAGTAGTTTTCTTGGGCCGCCGGTCTGCGGTCCCCAAGTACCTGTTTTTTTCGTGTTTTTTTTTTCTTATTTGTTGACATGTATCGTACTATTTAACTTCAGTCTTAAACTTGTGAGTTTTTAATAAATAAGGAGAATTGTTACTAGTACTTAAAAAATCTCATTTGGTATACTCTAACCATTCTATAATTAGAAGAAAAAAAACAGTTGTAAAGGAGTGTAGAATTTTTTTTTAAATGCTAATAACATTTCTCTAAATAAAAGGTAAATACTAAAAATAAATTAAAAAACCAACAGCCACCAAAGTCATCCCACCCATGCCATAGACGTCAACCCTCGATTCACTCGTCGCCACGCAAACCTCCCCTTGTCTTCCTCTCTCTCACATGAGTTTATGGAAATTTTATTTAAATCCATGTAAGCTCTTTCTACATCCAACTTAAATTTTAAATGTTAATTGTCTATTTTACCTTATTGTATAATTACTATTAAGTACAAAATGAAATTAATAATAAAACTCAAATTTCTCAATAAACCCAGACACTATAATTAAACCCTAGCATCACCCCTTTGTTTATCATACGCCCATTCCGGCTAAAAACCTAATAGTTCTGATAGAGAAAAACAAGCTTTTCTATTGATAGATAGTGATTTTGAAGTTTTGAATCCTCCAACTAAGGTATGACTCGATTTATGAATATTTTATTTGTTTGTTTCTTCTTTGGATTAAATTTCATACTTATTATATTGTATTTGTTTCTCTCTATGTCTGCGCCCCAAAACACCATTGCAAGGACTTTTAATTAGTAGTGCAAAGACATATAACTTGATTCTTGGTGCAAATAAAGATTGTCCAACCTCATAAACCTTGACCACTAACTAATGGGTGGCATGTCTCCATCCAAATCCAAATCATCAATGTCAAATGTTTCTGGCAAAGTGCTGGACTGAACTGGAGCTTGCATTGCATTCTCTGGCAAATTCAAATCTATGGAAGGATCTCTTGGATCCTAAGTCTATGGATAGGTTTGGTAGCAGAAAGAAAAAAAAAAGCCATGGAAATGCTAGTCATATGCAATTATATAGGGGCAAATGATGCCTCTTTGAAGAAGAAAAAAAACATTCAATTAGAGATGTTATTTTATAAAGGGAATGAGTGTAAAGATAACTTTACATTTTGAATTGGGTTTGAGATGGTAGTTTAGGTAATAAATTTGAGTTTAAAGAGATATTAATTCTTTAATAATAAAAAATATATAAATAAAGAGAGTAAATTGGATGTAAAAAAATGTTAGATGGATTCAAATAAAATTTCCCATAATCTCATCACCCCACTTCCATAAGCATCCCACTCGTTACCTTCGAATCCTCTCATATTCTTCAAAGTAACCAACACAACCATTTTGGTTGAGTGTTTACCAAAAGCCCAATTAGATAATATTGTGTGACAATTCATGTTTTTAGATTCACACTCCATCGCCCACTACACTCGAATCAGTCAAATTGAAAGCCGCAAATCTCAGCCATGATTAATTAGAGTTCGAATGTGAAGCAATGATCTTTGTCAGAAATTCAGAAAAAACAAATATTTACGATGCAAATCTGAATCTTTAAACGAGAGAGAGAAAGAGAGTATTTTGCTGGCAGCGAAGTAACGCTACAGTTACCACTTAGTTGTACCATTTATTTTGTGGCCCTAATTTTTTTTCTTTCACTATTTATTTTTAATTATTAAAATCTAACGGGATTAGTACTGAAGTTAAATAGTATGACATGTGTTGAAAAATGAGAGAAAAAACACAAACTTGGAGACCGCAGACTCACGGCCGTTTTCTTGAACTAATCGACACCATTTAATTAAGAGTAAATTTTAGAATTTGTAGTTTCAATGTAGTATAGATATGGTTGAAGAAAAAAATTGTTAATGGATCGAGGTTTTTAACTTTAAACAAAGAGTAATACTACGGTTATCATCTAATTGTACCATCATTTGTATCATCTATTTAATAGAGATAAGACCCGTCAACGCATGCATATCACCCTCTGTAAAAGTTTAGCCATGGCTACATAGAGCTCACCCAAAATTGGTCAATTAATATTCACTACTGTAGTTTAAAGTTGGTCCTTGAACAAATATTTAGAATTGAATATGTGAGAGTCACATGTGTGCCATATTCTCACACTGCCTAATGAATTATAAAGAGCAACAAATTGGATAATTGATGCATACATTGTGTAGGCTGGTAAGTTGTAAGACTTATCTCATGATTGCAGAAACGTTTTTACGTACCTAAAATGCCATGTTTACATTTCAAACCAATCACATACTAAACCTTAAAGAATTAAATATTTAAAAGTTCAAGCGACAAAAAATAACACATAATAGGGTGTAGAGTTTTCAATTGCCATCCATTTAATCTACCAATAAATAAGTAGCAACTAGCAAAACGTAGGGTTTTCAAAGAAATGAACAAGTCAACAAATAAACCCTAAGTCAGCAGTCCCCAAATGTCAACAATTTTTTGTCACACCAACATGTTAGTAGAACCGGTCAATATTATCCTGAAAAAACCAAGATTTCGTACACAAAACATGAGATGCAATATTGTCCTAATTCTGAGCATTTTCTCATGCATGTGCTGCGTGCAATCTGTTTTTTTCCTCTTGTCATGCACAAACCCTAGTTATCTTGTACTACTCAAGCAAGGTCAGCAGCTAGTAGATCGAAATCAGGATCGTCTTGCTTCGGAAAATGGCAGTTTCTTTAAGTTAAGCTTCTTGAGTCCTGGTACTTCAAGCGCTTCCGCGATACCAGCGATCGTTACGTGGGGCACAAAGCTTCCAATAAGTCATCCGGATGCAGTGTGGGTGGCTAATTCGAAAACTCCGCTCAGTGATTCATCAGGTGTTTTTACTTCGGATAGTGATGCAAAATTGAAGATTGTGTATGGTGGAGGGCAGATACCCGTATTAGATACCAATCCAACAGTTTGAGGTAATGTGACTGCTACTTTACTAGGTACCGGAAATCTCGTGTTACAAGAAATTGCTTCCAGTGGAGCATTAGGAAGCGTTTTATGGGAATGTTTTGATCATCCAACCAACACATTTTTGCCACTGCACATTGGTACCTGCATTTAATAACAATGTAGGGTGTGTTAGCAGATGGCCAACAGATAGCAGTTAAGAGATTTGCAAGAAATTCGGGACAGGGACTAGAAGAATTCATAAACGAGATTACACTTATAGCTGAACTTCAACACAGCAATCTTGTTCAGATTCTTGGTTGTTGCATTCAAGGAGAAGAGAAGATTCTGCTCTATGAGTTCCTGACGAATACAAGCTTCGATGGCCTTCCTTTTCGGTTTGTCCACAACTCCTTTCGAATCCAAAGACACACTTGTTCCATCTTCCCCTGCATCTGTAATTTGCTAAGCATGCTATGTATGAATTTCAATAAACTGCAGATTCGACTAAAGGGAAGCGTTTAGATTGCCAATAACGCATGAACATCATCGACGGGATTAAACAATGAATTCTCTATCTTCACAAGTATTCTAGAGATAGAATCATACACAGAGATTTCAAAGCTAGCAACATTTTACTTGACGAAATTATGAATCGATTGACTTTTCAAGGATTGTGTATTATTTCTTTCATGAATGCATTACAATTGTTTAGCCGTATATAAGGAGATGAACTCTCCTTGAGTTATGCCACAACCGGTGGACTCCTAAGAAAAGAGAACAAATGATTAACCACTTAGGAGACACACTTGAGTGGTTGCTTTAACCCTAACTCTACACACTTGAGTAGTTGTTTTAACCCTACTTCCAATAAATCCTAAGATATCAGATTTTGGAATGGCCAGAATTTTCGAACAAAATGAATCCACATCAAAGACGAAGAGAGTAGGAACATAGTAAGTGCACTAAAAATATATGTATATGCCTTTCTTCGATGTGAATATTATCTAATTGAAGGTGATTTTATACCGCGGTTACATGTCTCCAGTAATAAGGATAAAAGTGTAAATATATCCTCAAGATATACAACTTCGAAGTTAAGTCATTGTTACAATTTTGTTAGAACAGTTAGTTTGTTAGACTTTGTTTACTATGCACATGTATACACACAATGTAAACTTTTTGTTAGGACAATTAGTTTGTCACACATGTTAGTTTCACTTGTATATACACACACAATGTAATCTTATTGTTTTCAAGTAATGAAATCATATTTCCCATTATCCAGAATACGCCATGAAAGGCATTTTTTTTTACAAGTCCGATGTTTACAGCTTCGGAGTTCTATTGCTGGAGATTGTGAGTGGCAAAGTTTATAAAAACAGATCAAATTTTGCATTCAATTTTAACTTGGAGTAGAAAAAACTAACACCGAAACAAAATTTAAACGATTGCAAGCTCAAGATTTGTGGAAACAAGGTGACACTCGAGCTAAAGGACGCGTAGTTGGATTTATGCCCTAAACACGAAGCGTAAACGATTGCAGGCTTCTTTCCTATATATTCCACCCACGTATGCCACTGAGATAAGGACTTGTATGGCACGGGTTATAGTGATATTTTGTACCAATAACATAAAAATATATGTTAATTTCTCTCCACGTGTTCTTATATCATTAGCACGGAACGCCAATATAACAGTATACCCGTATCATAAAAGTTGCTCTGAGTCACAAAACGCTAGTGCTTTATCCTTACGTTCTAGGTCGTATGTTCGATTTCTCCTTCTTAAGATCTTAATTGTCACTTAGTACTACGATCTAGTAATACTCCTCTTCACTTGTAAGTGAGAAGTCTTAAGTTTGATTCTCGTCAAAAACG